TTTGAAGCATTTTTAACACAGAAACTTTAATCTTGTATTTTTGAAAGAAGAATATTTATCTTTTCGTGTATACTTTTGCAACTTTTTAAATTCTTGTCAGATATAATTTTAAGTTTCTTCATCTTTAATTTATTTCGTTAAATCTTTCTTTTGTGTATGTATACACTAATTGCTTATTAAGATTTAACCTTCTCAAAACACTATTCTAATTATCAACTTAATTAGAAATTTTTATCTTAAAACTACATAATTTTGAAAACATCTCTCGTAATAAATCCTTCCGCGTTTAAAAAATGCACAATTACTAAAAAATGTAAATATTTTGTATAATATTGCTACTGCGAATAATTTATGAAATGTCATTAATATGTATCTCGATTCTGCAAAGTGAAGATATTATAATTTTTCTTTTTAATTTTATCTATTAATGGCTTTCTAATCATTCATTACAAAATTAAAAAATCATAAAAAATATTTACAATGCTTCCTTAAATAATTAAAAACATTTTGTTTAATATTTTTAAGAAAATGAAACGAAGTTTAAATTTAGAATTAGTATTACAGTAATTTAATTTTATCTTAGATTAATAAATTTCTTAATTCCATAATTTTTCCCAGTTTTCCTGGTTCTCTCTGACTAACAACTCTGGTCTAGCAGTACAACGATAGTATCTGTATTCATGTATTATTTGAACAACAGAATGTTTTCGTGTTGCGTTTAAAAGCACGTTCTGTCCTTTCTCATATATTCATGAACTTGATGCATTTTGCCTGCACGGATAAAGAACAATAATTTGGCACAAAATACACAATGATTAATAATTCGTTATCTACGGTTATAAGATTAGTTTTCCTTCATTCTTCCTACTTTCTCTTTTTCTTCTTTGCAAAAAAATGTTTATAAATGGATAACTACTGCGACATTCTAAACATCTTTAAAAAATACCATACATGCATTTTTATTTTCTCTTTTCTTCGTCTGTGAGCATATCATAACAATATACATACATTAATAAAAATTTTTGTACACAAAACGTCTGAATAAAGAAAGAGATAGAAGAACCAGAAATGGTGTACCTTCTAAATTTATTTCTGTCGTTTTTATGGCTATGTGACATGGCGCTATCACTATATCTAATATAATATTCAAAGCCATGTATATTTTCTTTTCTTCATGAAAATGTCCCTTCGTCATTTTTACGAATCTTTCGTGTTTCCTCTTGCTTCGTTAACCAACCGAAAGACAGCGTTTTTTTACACGTTTGAGCATATTTGTTCTGTATTACTGTTCCGCACATGTTTTTTTTATCATATCCCGGCGATGTTTCTTTCCCTCATCACTAGCGGCTGATTAAGCGAGTCTGCATCCACTTTTCTTTTTCTGACATAGCTTCAACGCGGCGCATTGATGAAAATCTCACTTCAGTCACCGTAACTTAACGAGCGGTAGACTGGAAAATGCATCACGCTATTTCTGCGCACGTATCGCATCTTTCACATATTTCCATATTTTCACTGTCGAGCTTTCTCGTACGCTTCCAGACTTCCTCTTTCTCTCACCGCTAATGACTCGCACGGTGGTCGTACGTGTGTACAAGCATGCACGCGTGAGTTCGGAATAAACGAGCGATTCTTGTTGCACTTGAAAACTCGCCGAGTAATGCCGAGAATTTTAATTAGAAGCACTTTCGTTTATGTATAACAGGTGTCTATTAAACGCTTCGATACACGTGGATATCTGTGTTTTCTCTCCTTTGTCACACATTTTTTGTCTGTAAAGTTTCATCGACTAACAAAATTCCAAGTGCCGTTTGCGGATGTACGTACAGTGATAAGTACAGTAGTACTACAGTTTACTGAAGTAGCTAAAAAGTTAGATACAGATCTGAAAATAATTTTACTAGACTATTGAAATAATTGTGTGGGATACTCTTTATTACTAGAATATCAAAATATTTCGCAGTATTACTCATTTTGCTTGAGTTACCTACACAATTTTTTTGATAGTCCAATAAAATTATTTTCAAATCTGCTTTTAGCTGAATTTTTAGATATACTGTATAAGAATCTTTTATTGTAAATTTTCAAGTGTTGGAAATTTTTATCCAAAAATGTACTGTAAATTTAAACAATTACGCTGTGAAATTGCAAACATTTTGTGGTGAAATATACGCAAATTTTTAATGCGCACGCGTGGCGCGTCAGTTTTTTGTAAATTCACAGCAAATTTCTATTGTAAATTTGCAAATATTGTGAAGCACAGTAAAACGTTACATGATTTGTAAATTTACTGCACATTTTTATTGTAAGGATAAATTTACAAACATTTCTAACAATGTATTTTAATAAAATCAAATCTTTTCGTATATGATAATATCGTTATACGTTATTTTATCATACTATTAAAATAATTGTGGATAACTTAAGCAAAATGAATAATACCGCAAAAAGTTTTGACATTCCAGCAATCAACTTGAGCGTAAGTATTTCGAAGTATTTCCAACAAAATTATTTTTAGATTTATTTTTAAAAAATAACAAAACTACCATTGATTCAATATAATTTTATGTGTTAGTTTCTCCAAAGTGTGTCTTAGTTTCTGTAAAAATTTAAAGTATTTTAGTTGAGTTATGGATATTTAACATTTCAAGCAAGCGCTGGTCTGTGACTTCAATTTTTTGTGCATGACATTTTCATTTTCGTATTTTTGCTTCTCCGTTTCGCTTGGAAATTCGATGTTTGATGTGCACACGGGCATATGCGCAAACGGGTAAACCAGCAAGATGGTTTCGCGCGCTAAAAAGGATTTCTCTCAAGACGAATATATATCCGCCTACCACCGCACGGCAAGTTATTTTTCCTAGGGAAGTAAACGAGAGAGAATAAAATTTTTAGCTGCGGGTTTTCTATTTCGCCTTCTATCTACAAGTGTTTTTCAGGATTATCCGGGGCTTGCATGCCGGCACATCTTTGTGGACTCTCTTATTTTCTACAGGCCTTCTTTTAAGTGTCGGCATATTCATCATGCGTAAAAAATTATCTAGCACCATTTACTCAGTGCGTTTTATTGTTAGTGTATATTTTCAAAAGTAAACCAAATGTCTTTGTAGAAAAATATTTATTGCATGCTTTTTAGTTCTATATATTTATAGTTACTACACGATGTGTAATTCTCAGAAACTGCATTTAGATATATAATTTTACAAGTAAGTCCACAGTCTGAATATAACCAAAATATAACAATATTTATATTAACGCTTATGCTTAAACTAATAGAGATGTTAGAGAATTAAGAAATGTAATAAGTTTTTATCAAATACAATGATTAATAAATTTTTTTACATCTCTGATATGTGAATAATTAATCTCATTTATCACAAGTTTTTACCGAAAAGAATGATTGATAGAATTTTTATATCTTTTGATATGTGAACAATTAACTTCATTTAATTTATCAAAGAGTAAATAAAAATTAAATATTCGTAAATTGTTATCTCTTTTTTTGTTCTTCTTTTTTTCTTTAACAACGTGAATTTTAATTTGCTTTAATTGTAACGTGGATAAAAATGCATTTATTGCGCTGTAAATGAACGTTAAATTAAAATAATTATATGCACGTTAAACGTTTGATATCAAAGGTTGAAAAAAAAATAGTTGGCGTTTCGATCTTAAAGTAATGCATCGAACGCGATATAAAATAATATACATTTGCACTCTACCTCGATATAATTGGCAAGGAAGTAATTATTAGAAGATTGCTCGCGATATTGCTTCTCTTAGATACGATTAATACTTTATGAACGTAATACGCCCTAATGCGACTTGTACCACGAAATGTAAATTCAAGCGTTAACTTTTCAAGCGCCTCATTCAAATTTCACCTGCGATTAACGTTAAGGAGCTTTTACGTTAAGAGCGCTCGCGCGAGGAAATATCTTCTTACTGACTTTTTTCAATTTTCTTCGATATATAAAAGCGTAAAAAGCATTCGAAAATAAACATAAAAATTTCTTAGAAATTACTGTAATTACGCTATATTCGGTAAGGCAGTATTATTGATGTCTCCATCATGGACGATGAAAAGGCATTCTCGCGGACTTCCGCGTCAATTGAAAGTGAAAGCTTTATTCACTTCACACGATATATAAGCGGCATTCTATAATTTCACAAAATTTAAAAGGCTCCCTTTATGAACCGCAGTCGAGCTATTATAATGCCCCATCATTCAATACACAGAAAGGGCCATCTCCTAGTACTTTTCAACAATACAATGCCACTAGGAATTTATTAAGCTCCATGTTTTATCATGCCATTCACGTGATGAAATATATATCCTATCTCATTTAATTAATAACGTGTACGTGTTCATTATTGTTATTTGGTATTTTTCATCTTCCCTACATAACAAAGATATTAATGACGTTGACAATAGCAACGATAAAACGTCCTTGCAATTTTATTTTAATCAATATAATTATATATTTTATGTTCAAATCTCATTTTAACGCTTAATGATGTGGAAAATATTTTGTGACTGTTATCTTCGTACAATTTTGAATGATTAAATAAAAAATATATTGGACGCATTAAGATAAGTCATGTAATTTGCTTTCTAGCTCTTGTAAACAATGTAGGCGCAATAAATAAATAAGCAAATGTTCATATTTTTACTACAAAAAATGAAAAAAAAAAAGATCTCGCTGAAGTATTTATGAAAGCTAGATCTGAAAATGATTTTGTTGGACTATCAAAATAATTATGTAGAATTAAATGTTGGTAAATGCTGCAAAAAAATGTTAACGTTCTTGCAACCAGTTTAAGCGTCCTACAATTATTTTTGTTCCAAATAAAATTATTTTTCAAATCTAGCTAAATTTTAGCAAAACCATTCTTTCCGTGCATGAATTTCAATTATTTTATATATGTTCAAAATAAGAGGATCATCTGCGAAATATTAATTCTTATTTCAAGAAGAAAAAAGGTTCTTATTCTTTGCTCACCTTTATCGAGCGACCTGGCCAAAAGGATTGTCGGCAGAATCAAGAAGACCATGTACCACGAGAGCCGGTCCCGCATCCTCGCGAGGTTCTAAGTCCTCCTGGAAGCGAAACATCCGATTAATATTGCACTCTTCAACTAACAACTCTATATACCCATCTTTACCACACAAATACGCGTACAATGTATTTGGAATGAGGAACTTTGTTCGTACGAAGAAAACTTCGTTTATCATGCACCTAAAAGTTGGCTACCAACGTGAATAACGCAGAGAAACTCAACTGAGAAAATAAGATTTTCATGTCTCTACTGATGTGCATATGGAAACGTATAGTTCAACTTGAGAATAAATTTTGCCTGGCGTAGCAGACATCGTTGAATTTAGCGAGTTTTTGTCATAAAGCCTATTTTGTATTTTTTACAATAAAAAAGCTTTCTGCTAAAGCCATTTTTTCCATTTATAATAATATATAATTCGTAACATGAGTCAATTTCTTTTTCTATCTTTCTTTTTATTTTCTTCTTCTCTTCACTCGAAAAAGAAATGTTTAATTTTAAAATATTATATTAGGTCATTTAAAAAGTATCCGCGGTTTTTTGTTCAATTTTTGAATGAAAAAACCGCGGATACTTTTTAAATGACCCAATATTATAAATACTTTATTCTTGAGACCAGGACAAAATATTTTAATATCTTAAAATTAAACACTTCTTTTTCAGTATTTACTTCAACTTTTAAAATTATGTCTGATAATTTCAATATATTCATTTGGTATTATAAAATCGATAAATATTATTAGTTTTACAAGAGATGGGAAGTACTTTCATTAATGTATTTTTTAATGCTCATGTGAAATAAATAACATTCTTTCATTTAAAAACGCTACGAATTAATTCCAACACCTAATATATACAAAATTGAAATTTGAGGAAAAAACAATATTTGATATTGAGCGATTTACGATTTAAAGTTTGCAAGAAATAATGCAAATTATTGATTAATCCAACAATAAAAAACAGATGCGAATAAAGTGTTAAATTAAAAATACCGATGTTATATTATATTTTGTCCGAAATATGCGGACAGATTTTGCTACAACGCGTACATGGATATATTTGCCACTAACTCATTGAAAGTTGCGTTGCACAAAAAATACACGGGTTTCGCATGGTGTGTTTGTTCTGGCACGTGCAACGCAGCGGCTTGCAGTTCGGTGCAACGCATCAGATCTCTTGGACGTACGCGATATCGCACGCTTTTCAAAGTACGCTTGCAAAACAATTTCGGAGCTACGCGGGATGCCATCGGTGCCCGCTAACGCGAAGCTCGACGTCGCGTTGCGCTGCGCTGCACGAGCGATAAATTTGCGCCACTGAACGCAGCGAAAATGAGAAATGTACCACGCGTCGTGAGAAAAGTACGGAACAGAAAATTGCTGACGCTGCGCCGCTAATTTCGCGTAGTTCGTAACGGCAAAGTATGTCGTTGACATCTCGATTTTCACAGCGAACTCCTGGCAGCGACGGAGTAATTCAAAATTATTCTGATCGATAGACATCGCGCCAGTTTTCTTCAACGTGGACATTGGAACTTCAAACAAGATTGCTCGTTTCAATGTTCAAACTTTCGAACAGTGCTGATGTTCCTCATTATTTTTGAAAAAGAGCTGTGATAAGTTAATGTTCGAAAACACAAATAGATAAAAAAAATAGATAAAAAACTTTGTTCTTCACTTTATTTTTATACAAAATTCGTTTTAATACCATTTTCAAGGATATTTAATACGGAATTCTATTATTTTTCTTTGCAAAAATGTGTTTGAGAAAAACAAAGGTTTTTTTTTTGCAAAAAAGACTCAAATTTTATATAGTAAAGAAACATTAATGAGACTACTTTTAAATTTATGAATAGGAAAGAAATAAAGACACTGTTTTAAATTAAAGTAAAAAATACTAAACGTTTTATGTCTAATAATAATGTGATAATTTACAATTGAAATCATTATTTAACAACAAATTGATAATAAATGAACATTATGTATAATATTGTGATTTTTCTCTTCAATTTGATATGAATGCGTACACCTATACTATTAAATTATATAATACTTTTTGATGCAAACTTTTCATTTTCAAACGTACTTTCAAAGTTCCGAAATAGAGAAGAAGGTAAGTTTAATGTACGACAGAATGTTAACGAGTTCAGATTGCGTAAGACATCGTTCCTTCGAGAAAATTAATACCTTACATTATATTCCATAACAAACGAACGAATTAAGCTCGTTCGTTCGTTAACTCGCATAACACTCTTATTCGTTCGAGAATTGCGTAACGCACAACTACTACTCGGGCTGCACGTGCTAATTAAATACGAGAGATTTGCGGAGTCCAGGAAAACGTATTTCTTTCATACGATCGTTAACCTGACTGATTCTTCAGTTAATTGGACTGTTGAAGTCTACCAACTGTTGAAGGTACCAAGTACCATATGGTAACATGGAAAGAGAAACATACATGAGATTACCCCGACGAAACCTCACGGTTGATGTGAAGTCATGGTGAGAACCCGATGAAGTGAACGCAAAAGAATTATGTATATCGACACACATTGCTTATGCTGTTTCCTAGATGTAATCTAAACGAGTTATAATTAATGCTCAAATACGACATGAGAGGTTAGTACGGTGATAGCGTGACGAATGATAGCAGAGTACGAATAAAATATTTATATGTATATGATGTAAAATATTTATATGTATTCCATGGTTTGTATACGACACGATAAAGTACAAATTAAATTTTATACAAAAAAAATTTCATTCAAAAATAAAAATATAAATTACACAACCTTTAAACGACATTTGTATATATCTTTTTCGCACTATTTTTAATTTTAACTAAAATATATATGTTCATATTTAATATTTACTCTTGCAATTTCATGCTTTTTGTTTATAAAAATATAAATATCAGAAAAATATAAATGTCATATGTTATTTAAATCAGTTTCACAAAAAAACTTTAAATAGACTCGTCAAAATTTCAATTTTGAAGTAGGTAATCAGCAACTTCAACAGCACAATTATTATTTGTATTAAATTCAATGAATTAAATAAACTTCAAATTGCTGACTGCGTTAATGGAAAAACATTCTTTATTTTTTTCGTCCATCTATTTAGAACAGGAGCGTTATATTGTATAATGATAGAACTGATAACAGAATTGATAATAAAACTGATAACAGAATTGATAACAGAATTCTTGCAAATATACATTTATCTGATTATGCTATTTAACAATTACTGCATTTTACAAATTCTATATGTTTGACGATTTAACAATTATTTTATTCATGTTAAGAATTCACAATATTTAAATTATTTTGGCATAAATTCTAGAGAGCAAAATAAAGAAATTAATATTAAATTAGATAAGAAATGCAATGGAACAAGTCTACGTAACAAAATAAAAAAAAATTCATGACATTAACATAAATATTAATAATCTTGAAACCTATATTTATTAAATATTTATTAATTACGTCAAAAATATGTCGGTTAGCTGGGCAGATTGTACATTTAATTGAATATTATATTGTACGTTTAATTTTTAATATATTTTAATTTTTAATATACTTAATTTAACATTGGACATTATTACATAAATATTAAATCTTAACCATAAATATGAAAAATTCATGAAATGCTTGAACATGTACCTTTTTAGTCACACAGATTGTGCATTTAATAAAGCCATGAAATTCTTTACTAATTAATAGAGTATGCTGGTTTAATTATAAAAAAAAATTAGAAATGTGTGATCGTATAAAATTTTATTCTATTTTATAACATTCGCGATTTTTCGAAATTTTTAGATTTTAGAATTTGTTGTTGGTGAAAAAAACTAATGTACATTAAAATCTCGTTTTACTCAATACGCGTTTTTAATAAAAGTCGTAATTGCAATGAAATCACTATTTATCCAGATAATCGCATTGCGTGCATTACAAATGCCGGACAAGTTTCATTTAGCGAACGGAAATTTGCTTTCCGTTCTCTGGAATAAAAGTTTAAAATATTCTGCTATTTCTCTTTTTTCCGATAGATTTCGCTCGGCACGATAAACGAATAAATTGTTATTCCACACAATTAAATTCTCCGGAGAACACGAAAGCTGAATGTTGCTGTTCCGGTGAGCTATGCGGCCGAAAGTTTCGACGTTTCGAATTCCAGCTGGCTTTAACGTCTCCAGTCCTAGATTTTCGCAACCAAAATCCGATTTAATGTCGGCACGGATCGTTGACACGCTTATTTTTGGAATTATCTTTGCGCCCACTTGGGAAATTCATCCGACGTGAAGGACGATTTTACTTGCGCTTAGATCTCACTTTCAATTTAAACTCGAGCTTCAGAAAAAGTTTTATGAGAGCTAACCTGGTAGCGTCAGTAGGTAGTATTCACTGGAGGTCGCACACCGTGGAAAAGTTCGTGGGCTTTTATGCGGCGAGAGTGCCTCGCAACTGAACAAGCCAGAAATTATTGTGCACGCTTCTAAACGCTCCCGCGAGTGAAATCTTGTTTAATGGAATAATAGATCACGGTTTGGAGTATTAACGCTACGTCAATATTAGCGAACGTAACTAACGCCCATTTGTTGACGCGTGGATTCGAGCTTCAATGATAATTCGCGCGATTTGCGTCTGATTCTTGTGGTAAGTGGACATGACCGCCACGTTTAATCTTACTGATGTTTGTCGAGCAATCGTGAGCCAATTGACAAATGTGTATCGTCACGAGATACCTCTGATATCTCTATACATCTTAATCTAAAGACAATACACGAAGTATATTACTGTAAATCTGAAAGATTATGCTTACATCGGTGTAAGAGATTTACAAATAGATCCAGATTGTACGTACACAAATTTCTACGAAAATATTCAAAAAAGTAAAAGTAGTCAAAACAACAATAATATCTTCCTATAATCTTAAATAGATGAGACTAGAATAGATTATAATGCGGTTTATACTATGTATATTTCTTCCGTTTTCTAAGTATCTGAATAAATATTAAAATATTTCTGATGATCATTGGTGTGTA